TCTAAAACATCTGGAAAAACTATTTCCATGTCAACAAGCAGCTGCTCAGGGAGAGTCTGAAAAGAGTTTTGGAGGCCGCCTCTTGTCCAGAAAAAGCAAATGACAGCGACAACTGCTTATTGATGAGCAATTCTGTCCCTATTGGCTATGGTTTTTACCAGATTAAACAGATCGCTCTTCTGCTGGACTCCTGGAATACAGCTAAGCACGACAAATACAGCCCTGGGGTTCTGAGCTGCAGCCACATCCTCTCTATTCTGCCTCTGGTCTCCTCCCCATGTTCTCCCCTGCCCCGCCTTGTGCTCCCCCCCACACCCCGCCAACAGACACACACACACACACACACACACACATGAAACTAAATGACCAGGGAGTTCCAGAAGCAGCAGCTAAGATTTAGCTGGGGTTTAAAGCAACACCTGGGAAACAGCGGGACATCCTCAGCACAGAAACACTGGGCTCTGACACCCACATGCAGTTCAGGCATCTAGTGAGTCAACGGAAGACAGGGTCAGACTTGCCCCATTCCTGTCACATGAAGCATCGGGAATGCAGAGAAGCACAGGCAGATGGGATGAACAGACATCACCTCTTAGCGCTTGTAACAGCTCCCAGCATCACAGGAGAGAAGGGTCAGTCCTGAGGAAGTCTGAAGGACGTCTCGGTCATGCTCTCCAACCTCCTGCCTCATTGACCCAGCTCGCATCTTCCTCACCATCTGCTGGGCTTTACAGAATAAATGCTCATTCAAGTTGATCTGCTTCAGAGCACCCCCCTGTAAGAGAAGGCCGAGTGCAAGACAAAGACCTGTACGCATACAAATCAAAACCACAATGAGATATCACCTCACACCAGTCAGAATGGCTAAAATTAACAAGTCAGGAAATGACAGATGCTGGCGAGGATGCGGAGAAAGGGGAACCCTCCTACACTGTTGGTGGGAATGCAAGCTGGTGCAACCACTCTGGAAAACAGCATGGAGGTTCCTCAAAATGTTGGAAATAGAACTACCTATGACCCAGCAATTGCACTGCTGGGTATTTACCCTAAAGATACAAACGTAGTGATCCGAAGGGGCACATGCACCCGAATGTTTATAGCAGCAATGTCTACAATAGCCAAACTATGGAAAGAACCTAGATGTCCATCAACAGACGAATGGATAAAGAAGATGTGGTATATATACACAATGGAATACTATGCAGCCATCAAAAGAAATGAAATCTTGCCATTTGCGACGACGTGGATGGAACTAGAGGGTATCATGCTTAGCGAAATAAGTCAATCGGAGAAAGACAACTATCATATGATCTCCCTGATAGGAGGGAGAGGAGATGCAACATGGGGGTTAAGGGGGTAGGAGAAGAGTAAATGAAGCAAGATGGGATTGGGAGGGAGATAAACCATAAGTGACTCTTAATCTCACAAAACAAACTGAGGGTTGCTGGAGGGAGGGGGTTGGGAGAGGGGGGATGGGGTTATTATGGACATTGGGTAGGGTATGTGCTATGGTGAGTGCTGTGAAGTGTGTAAACCTGGCGATTCACAGACTTGTACCCCTGGGGAAAAAAAAATATATGTTTATAAAAAATAAAATTAAAAAAAAAAAAACACCTGTACACAGGTGGTTCTCTCATCTCCCAAGGCAGACCCACAAGTGTCCTCCCATTGAAAAGGCGGTCAAGAAATAGTAGATGATAATGAAGTGGTAGTCGGTCCAGTTCACACACAGGAAACCTGAGGCACACACAGGCATTTTCCAACTATCTTCATTTAGCAAGATGACCCTGGTAAACGGATTCCCAGGTCTGTACTTAATCCATTGCAAAGCAGTAATTATCACCACTGCATTAATGAAATTTTGAATTTATATTTATACAAAAACGGTCTTAATCCTGTGGAACTCAAGTATTTTCACCTCAAATTTTTAATTGCATTTTTACGGCTGGGAATACTTGACAAAGAAGAAGAGGCTTTGCCTGGAGTCACACAATGAGTCACCATGAATGAAGAAGCTGTGAAACTCTTCATCATGGATTATTATCACTCCTCATCTCAATCTCTAACTCCACGCCAGTTTATCAATACATATTAAAAAAGGTCTTGGATTTCCAGAGCACAACTTCTCTTGAATTCTTGAGAAGAGCAAATCCAGGAAATGGGACAGCCAGTTCTGATTCAGGGCAATATACAGAGCAGTTAAAATAGGGGTATGTGTATGGCCCAGTTAGTTAAGCATCTGACTCTTGATCTCAGGGTCATGAGTTCCAGCCCCACATTGGGCTCCAGGCTGGGCGTGGAGACTACTTCAAAAAAAAAAAAAAAAAAAAAAAAGTATGCATTGAAATCAGGAAGACCCAGACTGACATCCCACCTCTGTCAATTACTAGTTGTGTGACTTTGGACAAATAACTTACCCTTTCTGAATCTTGGTTTCTACATCTATAGCACAGAGTGGTAAAGTTTACCTCATGTGGTTGTTAAGATTAAATAATATATTTATAGTGCTGCAATTAGTAGCTGACAAGAGTAAGCCCTCAAATATTATCCATTAATAGTTACCTGCTGAGGAAGTAGAAGCAGGAAAGAAAACATTCCAATCTACTGAGTTCTGGCAACAGAGGGCCAGTATGAAAAGATGAGAGGAGTACACATGACTTAGAGAAGACTTAACTCAAGGTCTTCCAGAAGGTTTTCTCATTGGTGAAAAACTAGGGGCAAATCTTTGCTGAGGTCTTTTGGGGTTCTTATGAGAAATAAGATCCATAAAGGGAAGTGCTTTGTAAAGGTAAAGAGCTACACAAATGTTAGAGGTTACTGAGCAGCAAGTGCTCACTGAACTGGTGCCCACAACAAACAAAAGAAGAGAACATCTAGAGACCTGTGCTCAACGTGGGCAGGCCCCCAACTCCGCAAGAATAGCAGCCAGAATGAGTGAGTACTTCCTCTAACCTCAAGGGCATATTTAAGCTACAAAAGACCTGGAGATCAAACAGGCATGGTGACCTTTCTCAAAAGTCTTAGGCGTTTGAGTTCTATTATGGGCTCTGACATTCTGAGGACAGACCCCTGGTTATTCCTGTACACAGCTCAACAAAAACCCTTTGTTACAAAACAAACAAAAACAAACCCCCTTTGTTACAGTGTTAAATGAAAAAGCAGGGTACACAGTGTTACTGAGGTTGTGGGGTTTAACTTAAGCTGAAAATGCTCGGAAATAATAGATCACTCCTAAACAGGTAGTATTAAAATATTTTAAAATTAAAAGAGAGAGAAAGTGCCAGAACAGTGTACATAGTATCCTACTACTTATTAAAGTAGAATACACTCACATGCGCCTGTGTAAGCATAAAAAAAAGGTGGGGGGTTCTAGAACACACATAAGCACATTGGTTGGTTATGGGAAGATAACGGGGTACCTGGGGAACAGGATGGAAGGGAGATTTTTCCATGTTCAATATATCCACCTGAACTTTTGTTTTTTTACTATATACTATATTCCAGATTCTACATGAATTTCACCCATTTTTCTGCCTTTTATCTGTTTCAGGATGCAATCTAGAATACCAATATCCAGGGGACTTATGCTTTTTGAATCATGAACCATGAAAATTCTTATGTATTCAAACAAACTAACCTTTTGGCTCTTGGTTAGTTACCACACTGTAGACAAGATTTTGCCTCCCCTGCCTGGTCTTCCCCATGGCATCCATAAATATGGATAATGGACCACTCCTGCCAGCTGCTCCCTTCTAGCCCTGATACGTCCACAGAGTCCACATTTCCTTCTTCCTTATTTTTATAAGCCTCTATATCACCTGTCTTACACTAGCCCCAGCCAACATAAGTAATGGCTTTCAGCATGCAGGCACACTGTGCCCAGGTTCCAACTAGACAGAGGTTTGATTTAGCAAAACACAGATTACTTAAAATGTTCCTTGTACCCTGAAAGATTTTTCCTGTACAGTTCCCTGAAGATGGTTATTTTCTCCCACTGTCTTTCCTGATCTGCCCAGCAGATTAGGAAAAAGGTCAGAGGAGTAAGAAAGAACCAATACCAAGGCCCCTAGACATGCCACTCACATATCAGCAGAAATTCAGCTGGGACTATAATCAGAAACCGGAATTTTCACTAACTTCTAGGACTTCAGGAAATCAGCTCCCTTTCTGAGCTAGCTGTGTGATGAAAATTAGCTGGGCCACACAGTGTTCTAAAAAAGCCCCTAGAAAGACTGACTCTGTTATCTGTGTAGTCTTACTTAAACAGCCTCCAGCCTATGGTTCCTGGAGGCAGATTAAGAAGGTAGTAAAAAGACTGAAATGACTTTGACTAGGTCATGTTCTTATCTCTGCCTGTCTAATCATTCCAGATACCTCAACATAATATGCAAAAAAGGAGCTCAAGGACTGTGAACTACAAAAAGGTCTTGAAATAGGGAGTAGGAAGTCATGGTTAAGAGAGAGCCCTGGAGTCAGAATGCCTGGGTTTGAATCCCGGCTTCCTACCTAGGTGATCTTGGGCAAAATGTGTAATACCGCTTGGCATCCAGTTTAAGAAGAGGATAATAACAGTCATCAAACTCTCAAGGTTGGTGTAAGAATTATATGAGAAAAAAAGCAACTCCAAACACTCCCACAAGCTTAAATGCTTTATAGATGTTAGCTACCATTGATATTATTTCTCTAAAGAGCTAATCTGACAATCCAGAGGTGTAAGAAAGAAAAAAGTAAAGGATGGGGCACCTGGGTGGCTCAGTGGGTTAAGCCTCTGCCTTCAGCCCAGGGCATGATCTCAGGGTCCTGGGATTGAGCCCCGCATTAGGCTCTCTGCTCAACAGGGAGCCTGCTTTCCCTTCTCTCTCTGCCTGCCTCTCTGCCTGCTTGCGATCTCTCTCTCTCTCTCTGTCAAATAAATAAAATCTTAAAAAAAAAAAAAAGGAAAAAGGAAAGGAAGAAAAAAAAAAAAAACACCTAAAACCCCTGAACCCAAACCCCCATACTCGCTTTGATAGCACCTATTCTAAAATTGGACCAATACAGAGAAGATTAGCATGGCCTCTCCCAAGAATGACCCATGAATTCGTATAGCATTCCATAACTTAAAAAAAAGAAAAGAAAAAAGAAACCAACAATACATTCCCCATATAGTTCTAAGATTGAGTTCCAAAGCCGGTGTCTATCAGATCTCACACAGATAAAGAAGGAAATCTCCTATATCAAAGAGCTGAACTTGTCTGGTCCTCAAGGCCTGTCTGTGGATAACCTACACTTTTTTAAAAGTAAATGTTCTGCAAATGTTTGCTTTTCATCCCATGCCCTGCACAGGAGGAGCTATCGGAGGTATCCTAAGGCCATTACTTTACAAGGGCCACAGCCCCTGCTAAGCACTAGTATTTTCCTTTGAGCTACTGTGCTGGGGGTAAAGTGATGGCATCTGATGGAGGGGAGCACCCTGCCCATTCACATATCCTTTGCATTGCCTCTGACAATATCAGTGAGTAGAGGCAAAGTCAAGATTGTGTTTTAGGACGCCCTTTGCTCATGTTTGGAAACTTGACAACGGGCAAACAGCAGGTAATTGCGACTGAAAGTAGCCGCGGATGCTCTCCACCATCAACCAAAAACATGCCTTTTATTACCTATGAATACCACTGAAGTCATGTTAAAGAGAACGGAAATTAACTGAAAAGAAATTTTTGCAATAACAACAACATAGCAGTGCAATGTAAGGATGCAGATTCTAAAGAAATGTAGCTCAGATATTTCCATTTACACTGAAATTTATACACCAAGAATACAGCAAATACTGAAATAAAATCCGCTTCCTTGAAGAAAAGGAGCTGTGAAATTTTCAGTGAGAATGGGCTGCCCTCTGCTGGGCACTTTAGGAAGTCTCCACCAGGGCTGTCGCAACAAGTTTTCAGAAACAGTGATACTTGGAAGTAAAACAAAAACAAAACCAAAAAAAAAAAAAAAAGCCACAAAAAACCATAGCAACAAACTTAAACTTTGGTGTTATTTTTTAGACTATCTTCAGTAATCACAGACTGTGAAAACACAATTATAGAAAAGGCCCAAGGGAAGGGGAAGGGGATACTTTAAAAAAAAAAAAAAAGCCTAAGATTCTTTTATAAATGTAGCATTGTAAAACCAGCCTCTTTTGCTACAGAACTCCACAAATATTTTACTGGTAAGAAAAAAAAAGAGTGAGAATATATTCTCGGAAATGCCCGGGAGGCGGACAGAGGTTTTGTTAATAGAGGCCAGAAAGAAGCAAGGCCAACAGCGGAATGACACATGGAGTGTTCTTGCTGGTTGAGTGTACACACTTCAGGTCACTTCTCTCAAAATGAGATTAACCTTTGCTCTCATGTCTGTGTGTGCATGGCGGGGGTAGGAGGGTAGCAGCAGCTCCAGAGGGACTTGGCCACAAACCAGGGGCACAGCAACCAAGGGGAGGTCTTCACTGCATGTGTCCCAGAGTAGGGGGTATATATAAGCTCTACGAAGCAGGCTCACCACCCACCTATACTTGTTTCATTCTGCTCACAAAAGCCACAGGCTCTTACCTGAGCAGACCAAGCAGTGCTGGTCGACAGGGTTTGAACTGGAAGGCCAGGCAGCCTTCCTCAAGGCTGGCTCCCCCTGCTCCAACACACTCCTCCCAATCCATCAATAAAATGGCACTTGAATGGGTCTGAAGTTGCCAAAATGGGTCATTTCTCTTTTCCAGATGTGTTGCCATTCACATGTGCTGAAAGGATCAGAGGGAAGAGAACTACAGGAAATCATTAACATCCATTAGTGTACATCAGTACCATATTAGTTAATTAGTTAATTGTTTCCCAGAAAGCAGGGCCCAGAGAGAATGGGTAATAAGGGCAGGTAAGGTTTGAGAGGCAGTTAAAAAAAAAAAAAAAAAAAAAGTGGGGTTGGGAGGATGGCAAGAGGTGTGGACGGAAGCCTGCATGCATAGCCAGGACTGTAACTAGAAAAGCACACCGAACATTTTGCCCACTCAATTACCTTGGATCTCTGGAGTGATCATTTGCCTTCAATCTGTAATGGCAATAGTAGTGGATAGAAAATCACATAAAAAGTCTGTTGTTGTTTTTAGTGATGCCAGGGCCCATCTGCGACCACTAACCCAGAATTCCTCGGGGGACCCAAGCAGACAGCGGCAATTTTGTAAAGGGTCTCTGGGCAAGTCTGTCACACAGCTCTGCACCGCTGTGCTGTCACGTCCTCTCCAGCCCTGAGGATGACGCCGCCGAGGCAGCGAGCAAGCAGTCCCGAGAGCACGCCCTTCTCACTCGGCAAGCTGAGGTTCAAGACTTAAAACAGTAACTACAGGACAACGGCAGCCGTTGCCAAACACCAGTTCTGCAGGTCAGTAAAGGTCCAAGAGAACCTTCCTATGGTGGGTGATGGCTGGAACCTGTGTTGTAAGTCTGTGAAAAACCCTGGGCAGAACACATTTTAATTCACACACTGGAACCATCGAGAGTCAACAGTTCACTTTCATCTCCAGGCATGTTGTCACACAACAAGCAGCCCAGAAACCAGAAGAAAAAAAAAAGAAAGAAAGAAAGAAAGAAAGAGAACAGGAACAAAGAGAAAACACTACTACACTGAAGTATTTTATGAAGACACCTAAGGGTCACTTAAAGCCATTTTTTTTTAATGCACCTACACAGGTAGCGTTATTTAATCCAATTTTTAATTTCATCATGAGCGATTTACGTGAAGAAGATATAACAGGAATTCCCAGTCTGTGTCGCTACAATTCTGTAACTTCATACCCCATCTCAAGTTGCCTTGTTTTGTTTATCAAATCCATGACGTATGATTTGTTTCAATGTCAGGTCTATGTTAAAATCCACAGCTGATGAGAGCCGAAACAGCCTTCAGTTTAAAAAAAATCACCTGCTAGCTTGGATATTATTGAATTTGAACGGATCCCTTACAAAGCCACCCTGCTGGTAGACTTCCCTTTCCTAACATGCCTGATAGGAATGGAGCACTCCTTCACACCTGGAGGGGAAGCCATCTGGCCCAAATTCATTCAGAAGGTCTCCTGAGCTAAGTCTGACAGTCCAAAATCAAATAATAATAGAAATATTCATAAAGGTACCAAATCTCTTTTTAGAAGGAATCTGGGGAATCTGCCTTAGTGTGAAAGTCTGTGTGTGCTCCAGGAGAATTCCTAAAACACACACAGTATTGAGCCACATTCACACCTTCCAAACCACCCTTGGAATACCAGAGGACGTGCAACTTGCTGTGTGTTCCCTGGTCTAAAAATCTGTCAAAGTGAAAGCAAAGCTGTGTATTAGTTGCAGGTTTCTTTCTACTTTTTTTCCTCCTTTGTCAACAAACATGTACACTACCAAAATGTTCAGGGAACTGCATTGAGCTCTGGGAATACACACAAGTGTGACATGGGCTTTGCCACAGATGTGCCAGCGATGTTCCTGAGGGACAGGTTTACAAGCATTCTGTGTCAAGGTCCCCTGCCGTTAGCAAAGACACTAGGTGCTTGTGAGGGGTCAGGAAAGGAAGTAATCCTGTAGTCTAGAACAGCTTCACAGACAAGAGAGAGACTCAAGCTGGCCTTTCAAGTCCGAGTAACAGAAGAGAAGGATGACATTCTAGACAGAGAAAAATCAAGGCTGTGGACTTCTCCCTCCTGGAATTACATTAATAAAGCATCCTTCTCTGAACTGACTTGACAGAAATAAATACAAATCAAGTTTCGTGGGCGTTTTGGGTCCTACGGAAAGAAAACTGGTAATCAATAGTATAAAACCAGAAAACTACTAAGAGTTACTGGTCATAGGAACAAGGTATGGGAATGATATTAGGAATTCGTTCACAAAAAAACCTTTTATTGCTCCTAACAACCCCCAAACAAAGGGGGAAATTACCTATTAAATATTACCAGATCCACGCTTCTGTGAATGTGGAGACTGTCCGAGTCCAGAGATTTTCCATCCAAAAGCCTAGGGGGGACCCAGAAAGTATCACTTTTTAGGCACAACACTGACCCGCTGAATAATCGTCCCAGTGCTCCCGATGCTTGGCTTTTCCACTAGTACAATAACACTACCCCTCACGGGCTTTCATAAACAGAGGCTTCTTCCTAGAGTTTTCTGAATAAACATCCCAGGCTATTTGGCCTGGGGGAGGCAGGTCTATATGCTGAAGGGTCAGAATGGTGGAAATGGGAGGAGCTGAGTTTTAATCTCCGCCAAAGATTTAAAGGCTAGATGCAAAAGAGAAAATATCACCCTAAGAACAAGAAAATCAAATTGCCAAGATTTATTTAACTTTTTCTTTTACAGAAAATACAGGTATGTAATATAAACACTGACAAGTGAGATAAAGGACAGGGATCAGGAAGACAAATGAATTGGACAAGACTCTTGCTTCAACACTGCTCTGCTTCCTGATTTCGTGTGCAGCATGAATTACATGGTTATATATGTCGGAAAAATTAAAGGTAACATTCACCTAGATTTACCAAAACAGCAGAGGGCCTCTGAAATCCAACAATGCCACACAGAAGTCTGATCTGTTGCCAAAGGACAAAGCTAAGCCCATATCCATCTATCCATTTACTCGAGGCATTTCACGTAGTAACTTAAGAATTTACATGTGCGCTTTAATAGGCTGTGGAGGCAAGGATGAAATTGTGCCTCTTTTCCCTCTTCAGAGAAAATAACTAAATTAAAACAGAGCTGCCAGACACTGGGCAGATGACAGCATAATCACAGTGAATTATCTCAATAAATCCCATGAAACGCAACACAATGAAGGACAGCGATTGGTGCTTTGCCCCCCCAGTCACTCCACATCTAATGGTATAAAATCACATGCGGTTTTTAAGGCTCTTCCCCAGAACTCCAAACCGGGAAAAATGACCCAAACAAATGATTGAGATCAAGAGCCACCGTGATTTACAACAATCTGCTTCTAAACTTGATTTCAATGATAAAAGAGTATGGGTTCCCATTTTCAGTGATTATCGCAAGAGATTAAAGTGACTGATCTTTCATCGCAGTGTACCGGGTGATAGGCACACTTTGAAGACAGATGCCTAATACAGCATCTGGTTCTCTCATGGGGCTCAGTTTCTTAAGATCTGGGGTTCAGATAAGGCTGCTTAAGATCTAAAGATCAGGGGGACGCCTGGCTGACTCAGTCATGTGACTCTTGATCGCAGGGTTATGAGTTTGAGTCCCACACAGAGATTACTAAGAAATAAATAAACGTTAGAGATCAGCAAGCCCTGCAACTGCCAAGTACACCCACTCCCTCGCTCAGCTCCATAATCAAAGTTCTCAGAAGTCATCTGTGGTCCTTCATTTTTCAATACTCAACAACCTGGGGAGAAACGAGTGCCCCAGAGACTATATCTTCACGGTGAGCAGAGTTTTGGTAGCTCATGCTGAACACGGGTTCTCCAGAAGAGAAAGGCTTGTGTGACCAGGTGTTTCAAAACTCTTTCCCAGGCAAATCTGGCCTCCCTGGGGTTGTTGAGATTGAGATTTTTGTTCAGTGTGGTTATATAACATCACATGAGAAATACTCATTTTTATAACAAAAAACATTCACCTTTACATCCCTTACCCACAGCATTTGGCACAGTGTTCCATCTATTGTGCTCACTAAAGATGGACCTAGAAGAGAGGAAACCGAAACCTGGTCTTAAAAGGGGTAGGAACAGATATTCCCAAGGAATCCCTGGATCAATTGTGATCTTTTTTGTGCTCTATTACAGTAAGTTCTTACTCAGAAGGCTTTTGTTTGTTTGTTAACATGCAAGATGATAAAATAGACCAGCACTGTATCACTCAGATCAGGAAAACAGCTACTCACCCTGGACCTCCGTGATGGGGCTCATTTACTTCTGCATAAAAGCAGAGGGCTTTAGCCCTTGTGAATGACAGTATGCTATTCTGCAGGTAGGACAAGATCTTTCACCAAAAATTCTCTACCCTGGAGTCAGACCACAGATGCCAGTATCTGGCTCAGAAAGCAGGGACCAAATACTAGGTTAAATGCCAGAAAACTTTAAAGCAGCAAGTGGGACCCAGGCTTATCTTCACTCTCCAGTTACTGTTCTAAGCTGTCTACACTGAGCTCCTCTCCAATGCTTCAAACCCAGAAATTCCATTAGAGGGATACCAAGGAGGAGACATGTTGTGTGGGAACTGGCCATTTCCTCCCCTATGACTTCTCTTCTCCTCTCTTGGGATCAGTTCCTGTTGGAAAGCACTTCTCCCTGAAAAATGAAAGATGAAACCTCTGGAAAATAGCTTTATCCTATATGCAGATACTAGACACAATTACCTTGAGGAAATAAGGCACCTAGAATAGGACCCCAGATGGCCTATGTGGGAATCCAACTGATCGATCCTGTGGGGCTGCCAAGGAACAGGGCTTCCAACCATGAGCACTACTTTCCTGCCACAGGCTGGGCTGCATGGTGGGGTGCTGCTGTGACGGACTGACAGGCACAGTGGAGGTTCTGAAGAACTCAAAGAAATACAGGTAAATGTCTTCCTTAAAATAGAAAGTTACATTATCTATCGGGCCTCTGGCCAACACCATCATTCTTCCAAGTGAGGTCTTCAGAGTCGAGAGAGGGAGTAGGAAGAGCACTAGGGGAGCAGTTAGGGGACCCAGGTTCCAGTCCTAGCTTTGTTACTGACTGGTCATGTGATCTTGGCCATGCCACTTGACCTTCCCCGTGCCCCCCGAAGTCATTATCTGTAAAATGGGGATAAAACCACTTGCCTTGTCTGCCTCACACCATGATTGTGAGGACCAAATGAGATAATGTGGAAGTGCTTTGTAAACTGTGGAGTACTGTGTGTATAGTCACAGTATATACTCATTACATTTTAATCAGGTCTTTATCATTGCCTATTTGACTAAAAGTGCCCCATGCAGAATGTGCTTTGCAATAGATGGACTCAAAAATCAGTGCTACAAATACACACTGGCCTTTTCCACTAGGGTTGTGAAAAAAAGGGAAAGTCTTAATTTCCTCAGAAATGGCCTCAGAATACATTACTTAAAAATGTGAGGCCATCCAAACCTACCAAGTGATAGAATTAATTTTCTCCAAAAATGTCCTGTACAATTATGGCCTGGTCTGTGGGTACCTTTCTACAGAGAAGTCTTGAATTCAAGAAACGGCATGCTAAAACTTAAAGAAAACATAGTTACAGTTTGTTGTAAAGGAAATAAAATGAAAATAAGAAGCATCCTATATAACAAAATTAGGTTACAGTTCCTCAAATGGTTGCCTTTTTTCCTGAGATATCTCCAGGACGGGGTCCTAGTCCTGTGAAGTGCTTAAGAGAAGCTTAGTCTTGCACGAGGTGAGGAGGACATGTAGGTTGGCAATTAGGCTGTGCTCATTTTCAGCACTAGGATTTGAACAAGGAATGCTAGGAGCTGCCAAACAGCTTTGGTGGCGAAAGCCCATATGCCCCAAAGAGGCTTGCTAGTTCTCAGATGCCAGGCCAGAGTATGGAGAAGAGCTTAACGCGGCCATCCAGTTCTGGGATTTTCAATTCTTCCTGTAAGGTGGTTCTGCTCTTCTCCGGTCTAGTAAACAATTGAACAGAAGAAAAACAGTAAGATGTAGAGCAACATTATCTACCAGACTGTAGGGCCTTTTTCTGCCCAGCTGCAAAAAGTTTACATGCAGAACAGAGACACAGGCAAGACGTGAATGTGAATGACTCTGATCAGCCCAAAGCACCCAGATTCCAGCATCCGTGCGAGACTGCCTTTATTACAAACGTTACAAATGATGACTTGGAGGGAGTCCCGTCAGTGCAATCGCTAGTTAAGAGGATGGTCATCCTTTGGGGCCACAGGAGTGTTGCTAACCTCCACTTTTCTTCCTGATTTGCTTTGCTTTCCGGGGTTTGAGGATGGTATAGTTTGCATACGCTGTATACTGATCTGATAGGAAGGGGACATAGAATGCCCGCAGCAACCTCGAAGATCTGAAAAACAAGAAAGCAAAAAGAAAAAGACAAGACAGAATTTCATTACTTGAGAGAATTTACCAGCAGTGTTGAAAATGGTGAATGGGAGTTACCTAAGTGCAGTAGTGATCATATTCTATGTATGTAGCACAGAAAAATCTGTCATTTAACTACTAGATCATGAAAACAGAGTTAATCAAGACCAAGTACCTTGTCTCCAACACCAAAAAGATGGTGTCCCTAATAAGCCACAGGGTTTCCTGCAGAATAGCTCTAGGCCTTCACTTTGCATAGAATATGCCATAGCAAAGTTTCAGGTCAATCAAAGGACTGCTCTTACTGGAATAAATTCTTAACACCCAAGCGTTTTCTGTATCTAAGAGACTGTAGAGATGCCAAATGCTCCAATGATCCTGATTCCAGTTCTAAGTTTCCTAGGAGAGGCAAAGAAAGCCATGTCCTGGGCTTCCTGCGCAGCGTTCCAGCAATGCCTAAATCAGAGGGAGAGAGTATACACACAAGCTCATGTCTCTGGCAGGTGATAATATACCCACTTGTTACCAAAATACACAAACAGTGGAAAACCTGAATTTCTCATGAGTCTCTGAAGAATGTGGAAAAATGCCTCCCGTGTATTGAACACTCGGTATTGGACAAGCACTGGAAAAAGTGCTCACACTTTTAAAAACCCTATTTAATTCACCCAATAACCCCATCAGGAAAGTGCTGTTATTATCCCTACTTCTTTATACATGGGCACCTGAGGCTGCCACAGACGAAGTAACTTGCTCAGGGTCACACGGTAAACCACTCAAATCCAGATTTGACTCATTCAAATCCAGATTTGACTCCAGATTCTGCACTCGGTAACCTGCGCTCTTGATCTGCACCACGGTTTATCCTGCATCCCAGGCACAGGCTAACCGAATTCATCACTTCCTAGAAAATGTGGCAGCGAGAGTCTGGAATTCTATATGAAGTCTTACTCCTTGACTATGCCTTCTGAGTCTGAAAATCAAAAGTTGGCCCAGTTACTGCCACCCTAAATGAGGGAGCTGAAGAGTGTTCCGCTGCCAGTCCTCTTCCAGACTCTAAACTTGTAAATGTCATGTCAACGTGGCATTTGTCCTGGCAGCCTCCCCCTGGCTTTGGCAGGCTCCCACAGTGCCTGCACACAATGATATCGTGCTTGGCGTACACACCTCTTCGATTCTCCCCAAATGGGGCCTGGCAGTGCGCTGTGCTCAACAGAGATGCACTTTACTTCAACAGCTAACAGCTCAAGGGCTTTGATAGAAAAGAGGCTTAGAAGAGACTCCCGAGATAAGCAGGCCTGCCAACAAAATGAACAGGAGGAGGAAGCACCCACCTCTGTCAAAGAGAAGTTAGTTTATCCTTCCTGTCCATGCTGCACAGAGAAGGGGAAGGTCAGAACAGAGAACGGTAAGCCACAGGAAACTCCTGCAGCTTTGGTGTAGTGAAGAGGGGCTGAGAAGAACTCGGTGTCACTTCCATTCCAGTGGACTCTGCAATCAAAGCCTCGTAAACAAGGTCAGTTCCGCCCTTCAGGCAGCTCCAGCAGAACATCGGGTCTGCTGGGTCCAATCTGAGTGTTTCATTTCTTTTTTTAACAATTCCTTACTCTTTGGGAAGACTTAGTTCATAATGTTATTTGCTTTAGAATCTTAAGAACAAAGAGAAGTTCTCCTTATTTTTCAAAATAGAATAAAACTCATTCTATCTTGTAATTACCATATGGATCCACTGCCACCTTTTATAAATTGAAGCTGTATTATGGGATCTTAGTGGTTTTATTTATTTTTTCCTGTGTCTCAGATTAATTACAACTATGTTTTTTAAGAAAACTAAAATAAGACAAAGGAAAATGATGAAATCACCAAAAAGATGATGCAAAAGTAATCACTATTGCATTATATCCTGCAATTTTTAATTGCATTGCTCAAATTATTGTATCATCTTCCAATAAGGTATAAAAGAGCTGAGACGCTATCTTTGCAGTCAGCTTTTAACTTTCATTGAGCACAACTGAGAATGCAGGATCTTTAAATTTTCTGTCCATAATGACAATGAGAAGAAAACGGACAGAGGGAGACATTTCACAATTAGTAGATCAGAAATGGGTGCAAAGTGACAAAGAGCAGCATCCCTAGCGAGGATGGTGACACCGATCCTACGTAGAAGGTCAGAGTCAGTCTTCAGAGGACTGTAGCCTCTGCAGTATATATGGACGAGTCTTCTCCAACTCAGGAATTGAAGAGTGAGCCAAGTATTTCTCAGAACAAAAAGAAAGTAAGGTATTTGATTCAGTTAGTCACTCCACGGGGAGGACTTCTTCAATGTTTTGCAGCAAGAACCTAGACCACCCCATTACACTTAAAAAGGGCATAGGACCATATTCCTTTATCTTTTATGAGGTCTGTGGGCCAAATTTTATTCGATATAGTCCCTAAGTGGACAAATGCTGAAGGCAGGTTAGCATACAAAGGTGACTAGAAAGGTATATATGGGGAAGAAATTTAAAAATTCAATGGATCATTTGTTGGTTTATAAATCTAAGAATGAAAATGTCTGAACTGGAGCCAAGAAGATAGTTAAATTCTCTTCAACAAAATTATGAGCCACTAAAGGTTTCAAAAAATTCTAGTTTTTCACTTTGATGATGCCAGTGCTAGAACAAGCAGAAGTGATAAGCTAGAATCTACTGGAGATATATTTAAAATCTGGAACCAGTACTTCCAAGATGGATATATTCCAGGTCCATGCACGACAACTGCATTCACAGGGGTCCATTTCAGGTATCTATGTATCTACATATATCTATTCCGAACCAGGAGAATATGGAACAAAAATTCACGGTCCCTACATTTAAACTATTAAGATTTCAAATGAAGGTTTTTTTTTTTGTTTTACTAAGCTCTTATTCTTATTTTTGTAAGTTACTTATAAAATAACTACAAAATATAAAAAAACGAAATGTCTGTTGGGCAAGACAGTAAATGGCAATGGAATATTTTTCTTGGTGTGCTGATAGATCATGCCCAGAAACTCCAGAAGAGATCTTGGGCCATACAGAGGACATCATCAAAAATACTGACTGCCCTGAAATGGAAGAAGGGCCACTATGCATTACTGTTGAAGGAAAAGGTGGGCTGAGACAAAGGTAAAAAGATAAAGGAGATTTGGACAGAGTATGTGCAATACTTACGAACGGATTAGTAGCAAGAATATACGCAACGAAGATGACAAGTGACTCCACAGGGGAAAATGACAAAGACCATGAACACAGAAAAGAAACACGAACAGCCAATACTAGTGATCTAGTTGGGAAATGCAGAATACAAATGATATGTAATGATGACAGAGCAGTCACTAAACACTAAAAGCGAATACCAAAGTTCAAAGTGATAATATACCCACCGAGAAGAGAGGACAAACACTGAGGGTTGCATAGGTATGGAAAAAGCATTTACTGTATCTCATTTCATTTTCTCCATCCAACATTCCAAGATATACTCAAAAGAAAGGCAACTTGCTCTTTCATAACCAAATCTACAGATCTTAGGTTAAGAGCTCTGTCCACTCAGCACCAGCCAGAAAAATGGCTTGAATAAAATCCAAACTCTTTCTCATGGTCTACAAATCCCTAGGAGATCAGGCCCTTGCTTACTTGTCCCACCTCCCCTTGCACATTGTCCTCCTGCCCACTCCACTCCCACCACACCAGCCTCCTCCCAGTCCCTCCCTACCCTCTAGCCTTCACATGCTGTCCCTCCTCTCCCTGGAAAATGCTTCCACCCTGTTTTTTTCATAAATAAGTCTGACTCATTTTTTATTCTTCATCTTGGGGGCAACTTTGAGAGGTCTTGCCACGTCCTAGGAAAGCCTGGGTTTCCATTTTTATCAGTTAATCTCTCTCAGTGCACCCCGTGTGTTTATTACACTCTTTGTAATTTTACATTTATTTGTTGGTTAACTCATTTATTGTCTGTCCCCAACAATCCCTCCCCAGATTTCTGGGACCAAATCTGTTTTATTTACCAACAGCACAGTGACTGGCACAGAGTACATGCATAGTGGTGCTGAAAAACAGAGGTTGGATGGATGGATGGATGGATGGAAGAATGGAAGGCAGGGAAGGAGTGAAGGAAAGGGAAGGGCTGTTGAAGAGAGTGAGGGAGTAATTATATACAAATGAGATCTGAGTTTAACTCAATTCATTTCTTCCACCAGTGACTGGACACCATGTCAAGCAATGGTTTAAATGCCAGAAAAATAGTGGTGGACAGAAGATTCCTACTCTCAAAGGGGAATTCGAAGTCCCACTGATGTGTGGTTTGTAATGACCATCTTGCTAAGGACAAGCATAGGTCTGCCTTAGATACCTCAAGAGATCTGTGAAGCATCCTGATTGTGCCATGTTTCTTCAGGGTACAATCACAAGAAATTCAGCACCAATTCTAATATATGTTCAGGAAACAAGAAGTCATTTCCAGTTAAGCCTGAACACAAAACTATATAAAAGGTAGGGACTCTGTATAAGGAGAAGCTAAGAAGAATTTATTTATGTACTTATTTATGTATTAATTTTTAAGGTTTTACTTATTCTTAAGATTTTATTTATTTAGTTGACAGGCAGAGATCACAAGCAGGCAGAGAGGCAGGCAGAGAGAGAGAGGAGGAAGCAGGCTCCCCGCTGAGCAGAGAGCCAGATGCGGGGCTCGATCCCAGGACCCTGGGACCATGACCTGAGCCAAAGGCAGAGGCCCCAACCCACTGAGCCACCCAGGCACCCAGGCACCCCTAAGGTTTTACTTATTTAAGAGAGATAGAGACAGCAAGAGAGGAAACACAAGCAGGGGGAGTGGGAGAGGGAGAAGCAGGCTTCCCGCTGAGCAGGGAGCCTGATGTAGGGCTGGAGCCCAATGTGGGGCTCCATCCCAGGACCCTGGGCTCATGACTTGAGCCGAAGGCAGATGCTTAATGACGGACCCACCCTG